TATATTATGTTATGAGACTCTGGATTTTATTTTATTTTATTTATTTATTTTTAAAGATTTTATTTATTTATTTGACACAGAGAGAATGAGAGAGACATAGAGCACATGAGAGGGGGGAGGGTCAGAGGGAGAAGCAGGCTCCCCGCTGAGCAGGGAGCCCGATGCGGGACCCGATCCCGGGACTCCAGGATCATGACCTGAGCCGAAGGCAGTTGCTTAACCAACTGAGCCACCCAGGCGCCCGAGACTCTGGATTTTATTTAAACCTTCCATTTAATTTAATTGACTTTTTTTTTTACATCATTGCAGCAGGGGAGTGTGGAGGTAGAAGTCCAGGTTCCTCACTTAGTTTCCATTAACACCAAGGGGTGGAGGGTAGGTGTTCCAACTCCCTACATGGTCTCCACCGACACTGTAGGGGGGCATCCTCATTATTGCTGAGTGATGGTGAAAGTCCTCACTCTCCACTAGCCTCCTCCAACACCACCCCAGCAGGGAGAGGAAGGGTTGCCTCATTACTGCTGGGTTGGAGTGAATGTCCAGACCTTGTCATGGTCCCCTCTTACACAGCAGGGTTAGGGGAACTCATCAACCAGAAGGGATGAGAGTTCCAATTCCTTAATTGGCCTGCCCCACACTAGCATGGGTGTTCGGACACCTGGTTAAAGACTTGCAAGCTGTACAGACTAGGCTCCTCATTCAGCTTTACTGGCATGGATGCAAGTGGGGCCACATTTTTTGTCTGTTGTTTGGAGTAGAGCAGATATTGTCTAAAGTTTTCTGTTTGCTAAAGTAAGCAGCCTTTTTTGTTGTTGTTGTTTTTTCTTTTCTATTTATTTCTTCCTTTTCTGTCTGTACTCAATGGCATTCCTGGCTACCAGCTTCCTCAGCTCCAACTCCGGGACATAGGAATTAAAAAGAAAACCCACGGAACTCACTACCATGTCATTCCTCAGGTCCCGATGTCCCAACTGGTCTGCCTCTTCTGTCTCTCAGAGTCTTATTATTTTTTAAAATATATCCTGTTCAGGGATTTCAGTGGTAAGAGAGAAGAATAGGGAAAAGTATGTCTACTCCACCTTCCCAGAAGTGGAAGCTCTGCCTAACACTTTTCTTTTTTTAATTTAAAGTCAGTAAATTTTTATTTAAGGAATTTTACATGATTCCTTCCACTGCTAATCACCACAGTTTCTCTAAAGTCAGAATCATAATCTTCAAAATAGCCCTTTTAAAAAGAACTTCTGTTTAATCCACAGTTGTCACTGTCAGTTCAGGGTTCTTTTAGTTGGGCTCCTTTGATCTCCACTTGGATATGGACATACTTCAAAAATTCCCCACCTGTAATCTTTGGGATCCAATTTCTTTACTTTAGGGCCACGTTCTAGCACTTTTTAAAAGTGCACATCTGACCATGTATGTCACTGGTTAAAATCCTTCAATGGCTTCCCATCACTAAGGATAAGGACCAAAACCCTTTGCATGTGTCCACTGAACAATTCTGCATGACCTGGCCCCCTACCAGTGGTAAATATTTAATAAACAAGTTGGGGAGTGGAAAACCCTGATATGCAGTGTTTGCCAATTCCCATGGTGTAAATACTACTATTATGGCCAATTTCAAGTTACCAACATGACTGCTAAATACAGAAATGAGAAGAGATGCCAACAATTGACTCTTGCACAATCATTGCACTCATTTATATCATTCTTTCTTTATACTCCAGTCATTCCAGACGTCTTTATGGATGCATTGTGCATTTTCCAGCTTTGAGTCCCTTCTGCACACTGTTCCCTCTACCTGGAATGCCACCTTCTTCCATATCACTCAGTGTGTGTGTGATAGAGCCAGCTTACATCAGGTTACAAGAGCAATTTTCAGGAATTTTGCAATCTGGCTGTTCACACTACAGATCAGGGCTTTCTTGTCTTGTTTTTTTAGAGCTGGTTTTTAAACATTTACCAGCATCCCTCTGCATCTGCTTATTTGACACAGAGAGAATGAGAGAGATAGAGAGAGACAGAGAGGGGGGAGGGTCAGAGGGAGAAGCAGACTCCCTGCCGAGCAGGGAGCCCGATGCGGGACTCGATCCCGGGACTCCAGGATCATGACCTGAGCCGAAGGCAGTCGCTTAACCAACTGAGCCACCCAGGCGCCCCGCATCTGCTGCTTTTTGTCTGGCTCATCCTTCAATCGCAAACCATTTCTTCTAAGAAGACTTCCCCACTACCAGCAACCCCCCCAACAGACCTGCTTTCTGTTTGAAAGTACCCCAAACTTCCCCTTTCCTAAAATTCATTGGAATTATCAATAACTGACTTGCCTCTCTGCTACTATACCATAAGAGCAACGATGAAAGGGGCCTTTTGTAAATACTTGAAATATCAGATGCCTTTTTATCTAGATTAGCATGGTGTAGTTGACAGACAGCAGGTTCTGTAGATATTTTAGAAACTGTTGAATGAATAGATGGATGAAAGGAATGGAACTAAATTAAAATTATAACTGTTGCATTGTAAATAGTGAAACTGTGAAGACAGACAGGAATCTGTATGAAATCTATGAAAAGTTTTCTTAGGTTTATGCAGTAGAGTCTAGGGTACAGAATGTCATGGCCAATCACCACAGCAAGGCAAATCTCCAAAGGAGAGATCAGTACATGAGGTTTTCATAGCTTAATGCAACTGCCCCTAAGATCATACATCTCCCTACTGTAGCTCTATATAAAGCAAACAACTTGCAAATTGTTGCCGCTTCCTCTCTTATAGCCCTACAATCCCTTCTTCACAAAGCTTAAAAACTTTTAAGATTTTGTCAGTTAGTCCCTTCCCCTAATTTAAACCCTCTAGTACTTTCCCATAACATCTGCAAATCCCTACCTGCTCTGATCTGGCCTCTGCCTGTCTGTCTGATATCTCTTACCACACTCTCCTTGCTCAATAAGCTTCAAATTTATTCAACACATACTGAGCCCTGCAATGTACCAGGCACTGCATTGTTACCAATAAACAAAACAACAAAAACTCCCCTCTTGGTGAGGACACACACACACACACACAAATAAATCTAATAAATAAGTAAATGAAAAACCTGTTAGAAAATATGCATACCATTTTTTAAAAAGGAAGAAAATACATTAAATGCCTGGGTAACAGATCATGCAGGATCTTTTAGGCCCTTGTGAAGGACTTCAGCTGCAATGTCACTACTCATAGAGGCCTTGCCTAATCCCCTAATTCTCCCCTCAATTTCATGACCTCGTTTTGTCTTTTTTTTTCTTTTTGGTTTTATTTGAGAGAGAGAGACAGAGATAATGAGAGACAGCACGAGCAGGAAGGAGAGGGAGAAGCAGGCTCTCCGCCCAGCAGGTGGCCCAACACAGGACTCCATCCCAGGACCCCAGGATCATGACCTGAGCCCAAGGCAGACACTTAATCAACTGGGCCACCCAGGTGCCCCTCGTTTTGTCTTCTTAATAGCATTTATTGATACCTGAGGGTGTTTTTTCCCCCAATGTATTTGCTTGTGTATTATTTCCCTACAAGGAATTTAACTCCTTCATCACCACGTCTCTCCTATTTATAACAGGACCTTGTACATAATGAATTTCTTTAATGAAGGATAAATATGCCCTTAATACCTTAATTTACCATGGGTTTTTAATATCCTGTGAGGGCATTTGGGAACACAATAAATTAGATGATAGAAATCTCAACATGGAATTATTACTCTAACAAAACTTGGGCTAAGAAAAACTGTGTAGGGTTCCTATAATGTTTTAAGGTCTCACACAATTTTTCTCTTTCCAAGTCTGGTTAAAGCTATGGTGGTGTTTTCATGGATTTGTTGTTCCTGGTTATGACCAAAATAAGGAAACAAATCGCAGTTCTTCCGGTTTGGCAGTGGAGTCAATACGCTCCAATTTTCTTTTAAGAGAAAATACGAGATTTCAAATAAGCCAATACAAGATTCAAGAGTGATCTAGTCGAGTCATTTCTCTGCAAGGTTAGAGATTCACAAGGGGGGGCCGGATCTAGAAATGGGAGGGTGACAAAGTACAGATGCTTTGGCTAGGAAGGAACGACCAGTAAGAATCAATGGCCAAATGCCTCACACCAATTTAAGACGTACAGCGACTGCAGATGTGACTACAAAGCAAGGAGCGAAAAGAGGACGGAAATTAGGGAGAAAGGACCCCATTGTCTGATGACCAACTGAGGAACAGGAAATGTGTGCTCAAGTATGTGAAGTTGAAGCCGTGTACCTTAACCAAAGGGCATTCTAGCACGGATTGGTATTTCGGGCGGGCTGGAGATGGCATCTCCCCGGCTCCCAATTCTCCTCCGCTTATTTCAGGTGGGCAGGTTAAGGCAGGAGTGGAAAATGCCTACACAGTTGGGCCCCGGAGAGGACATTCGGGGAGCTCCCGTCTCCCCGTCGAATCCTGAGCATTTCCCGAATCGGAATCAGGACCCGAACGGTGCCCGGACCCGGCTCTCCCAGGGAGGCTGCACGTCGGGCCTGGCTCAGAAGCGGGTCGGGACCTGCGAAATTGTGGGGTCTCCGGTTTCGGCAGCAGGAGGCGGGGTGCCCGCCCTCGCCGCTTCCCTGGCGAAACGCAGCGTTAGACCCGCCGGCACTGGAGCTGTGCGGCGGCGGCGGCGGCGGGGGGAGGCGGGGCGGGGCCGGGGCGGCAGGTCGCGGCCGAGGCGGAGGAAGCAGCCGCCGCCCCAGCTGAAGGAGCGTGGACGGGGGCTTCCCGCGGGAGCAGGCGAGGGGGAGTCTTTCGAGCATTTCCACCCGGCTCGATCACGTCGGCTCGGCCCCGCCCGACCCCGCCCCGGCCACCGCCTCTTCCCCAGCCGACGCGGGGGCCGGAAGGGGGGGGGAGGGACCTGTACCAGCGCCTTTAAGAGGCGTGGCCACGCGCTCCGCCCCCACCTGCCCTTCCCGCGCCAGCAAGGGGCGGGGTACGGGAGGAGGTGCCGGGGCGGGAGGGGAGCGAGGCGTGCGCTGGTGCGCAGGCGCAGTGGCCGGACGACAGACCTTGTGTTTCCAAAATGGCGGCAGCGATGGATGTGGATACCCCGAGCGGCACCAACAGCGGCGCGGGCAAGAAGCGCTTTGAAGTGAAAAAGGTTGGGTCTCGCCAGCGCCTTCCTCAGGGAAGGTAGAGAGACGCGGATCTGGCTGGCAGGCCCGAGGATGACCGAGGCGCGGAGGAAAGGGCTTCATTTCAGGGCGTTCCTGGGACCGGGTACCAGGAAAGGAAGCTGGGGGGCGGGTCTTAGAGTTGATCGGCGTGACTGGGGCCCACTGCCAATGGCAGTATTGGTTTCTCTAGGAGTCTGAGGGGCCAATCACGGAGGCGCTTATTGCGATACGCGGGGTTGCGACTTGGCTGAGAGAGCCAAGCGCCTGAGCTGTCACTGGAGTGGTGGAGGGGTGGGGAGGAGTGGGTGGGGTGGATGGAAGGGGGAGTCGGAGCGATGCGGTGGGTGGAGGATGGGGGCAGTGCGGCGAAAGCCGGGACCTGAGTTCCTACTGCATTGGAGGCCTCTGAGGAGCCCCGCTGGTGATTTCCTTGCCCCGCCTCTTCCCGAAGCCCGGGGTCCTTCTGATTGAGGGACCCCAGCCCGGTCCTCGCCTAATCAAGGCCTCCCTTAGCCGTCTCTCTTAGTCCTCGTCCCCGCCGAGTTGAAGTGTCTCCAGTGTAACAACTCTTGACTCTTCTGAGAGGTCTGTTGGTTTGTCACACAGACGCCACAGTCCTGTGGTCATATCCAGAATCGATTCCCTCTGTCCAAAAAAAAAAAAAAAAAAAAAAAAACCATGGTGGAATTTGTTAAAAAGAAAACGCGAGCCCAAACCTTGTGTCGTTTAGGAAGGGTTGACTACTAGTGGCGAACGACCTGGTGAAAGTGGGAAAGCAAAAATGTGGAACGTGTCTTTTTGCATGAAATGCCTTACAGTGGTTTGCCAACAGTTTGGGAGAAAAGTGCCGATTCCCACATAATATCAAATAAATCTGTTCAAAATGAAGACTCTGGGATAGGGAAAATGTTATTCTTGGAACATCTGGCTAAACACTGACAATATTCCCCCTCTTAGTGCTTTTTTGGTGTTTCATTGTGGGCACTGCATGCTCAGTAACAGCCAGCAGCCATATTGAAGAATAGAAATAGGGGTTTTTTTCCTTCAAGTTGAAGCTGTCGGGTGAAAAGTGCTGAAGAAGTTGAACTAGACACTGAGAATTGGGTTTGAAAGAGATGAAGGTTTTGGAAGTGGCACCAAATTAGTGGATGAAAAGGGAGTTTGGGAATATTTGTAATTGCAGAAGCCAGAAGATTGAATTACTTAAATGCCGCTTTCAGATGAGCTCTTAATTGGAATTACCTTAACTAAATATGAGTCTGGGCATGTAAAAGTTGAGAACATCAATTTATTTGATAATAATAACTAACCAAAATTCTAGTGAATTCTAGAGTTTGTTGTGAAATAATCTTGTAAGATTTAAGTGGTGACCTTGCTCTGTGTACTGACACTGGGTAATTAGTTATCCAGCTTATCCCATGATTACCCATTTTATGATCCAGTCATCATCTTAGTCCATTCTGTTCCTAGCTTTCACCTCCCCACTCATTCTTTCAAAGCTGCCTTGAAGAGCAGATATTTATCTGTGCAGAAATTGAGTTCTTCAGGGGAATCTGTACAGAAATTCAAGTTTGTGCTTATTAAACCTAAAACAGGCACTTAAAAATTATTCCTGATTTTCTTACATTGATATGGTTGACTAAATTATTGTAAGCTGTAGGAGAAAATAAAGATGATTAATCTGTGTTTGTATACTCAACTGTTGGAAGAACGGGTGAGCACACATGTAGCCTGCTGTTGCCCTCTGATAAAATAAATAAGAGTAATGTAATATCCCCAAACTCTTGTGGCCAAAGAGGTGATAACTGCAGGTGCAGCATGAAATCCTAGAGTGTGTGTGTGCCTGTGTTACAAGGAGAGTGCATTGTTCCCCGTTTTTCTCTTTGCAGTGGAATGCAGTAGCCCTCTGGGCCTGGGATATTGTGGTTGATAACTGTGCCATCTGCAGGAACCACATTATGGATCTTTGTAAGTAACTGGAGGAGAATGGGAGGAAGTTGAGAAGTTACAGAGATTGTGGCTATCCTGATGTGACCAAATTTCTTCTTCCCAAGGAGATATAAAGCATAGTCAGAACACTTGGTGTCTTCTGCCTCTAGTCCGTTGGTATATTTGAAATAGAGTAGATTTAATGATATCCTGGAGGCACACTCATCTCTCAGAATAAATATACTCAATCTAAAGATGGCAAGCACACATTTAGAATGAGTTGTGGACACAGAGGCACTGTTGATTATTCCTCTATATCTCCCATCTCATACCCAGACTCAAAGGCAAAAATAGTGAGAGGAAAAAAATAAACTTTGAGCTAAAATATTCTACCAAAGCTAGTTTTTGCTTGGCAAGATTTATAAAGAAAGAAGCCAAATAAGTAAGGAATTGCAATGTTAGCCCCAAAGTTAAGAGGACATCACTGCCAACATCTAAATAGACAACTAATTGCAGTAAAGAAAGTTCATTTAAATCTCCTACATCTTCCATCATGTATAGTAGCCAGCACATGGTGAATTTGATCATAGCTGTTGATGGACTCAGGATCCTTATAGTAATAGGGGCAAGTATGTTGATCAACCAGGAACAGTTGAGGTTACTTTTTCATCCAGGTACTAAAATGGTTTGTTACGGAGATCAGGTATGAGGTAAAGAAATTTCAGCTTTCTAGAGTTGAATTTACAGGCACTTAGTTTGTAAATCACTCACCTGCCTCTCCAGCTTCATCTTGCACCACTCTCCCACTCACTCTGGTAGTTTCTTTGGCTTTCTTTCCATTCTTGAAGTGTCCATGCTCTTTTTTAGAGCCCTTACATATCCTCTTCCCTCGGTGTGGAATATTCTTCCTCTTCTCTCCACTACCTTTGCCTAGCCCAGTACTGTCCAATCTAAATATGAGCCACAAATGCAAGTACATACGTGATTTAAAATTTTCTGGTACCCACATTAAAATAAAAAGATATAGATGATTTGCATTTTATTTATCCTACTATATCCAAAAAAATTTCATTTCAACATGTAAATATTTTAAAGTGAAATATTCTACATTCTCTTTTTGGTACTAAGTCTTTGGAGTGTATTTTACACTTACAGCACATCTCAATTCAGACTGGGCACATTTCAAGTGCCCAATAGCCATATGAGGCTAGTGGTGACTTTTTTAGGCAATGCAGAGTTAAGCCATAGTTGGTCTTTGGCTCTCACCTTGATCTAGCTCAGAGATGTGTTCCCTGACCATACTTAGATACACACAGGCTGTGACAGTTGTTAAATATTCCCAAGACCTCCTGTAGTTTCCTTTGTAGTATTTAATTTAGTTGGTTCTCTATCATGTTTATGTTATTTACTGCTCTATTCCCAGCATCTAGCATAGTGTCCAGTACATAATAGGTTCTCACTAAATACTTGCTCAATGAATAATAAAAATACAAAATAGAGGAATAGTCTGTGATCATTGCAACTTGGAAAGCACCAATCAAATACCATGTGTTGGTAGTTTGTTGCCCTTGGTTTCTTTGAGTTTTGACCCTGTTTACCTTTCACACAACAGTCAAAGCAGACAGCAGCTACCATGATGTTTAATACAGATAGAAGGAACCCATCACAGAAAAACATATGCACAGTTTTAAATGTGTTTGGGTGGGGTCTTTGATTACATGCTTGCCAATTTTGTTGCTGTGCATTTTCATAAGGAGTTGTGCCCAAAACAAATTTTATTTTCTTGGGTCTCTCTTCTGTAAATAGTTAATGATTCCAAATAACCCTGTCCCCCACTTCCCCACTTCTATATTTAAGTCATTTTGTGTCTCTCTCGATGCAAGAGAATGTACTTCTTGGGAGGACCACAACAGACAAAGGCCATTAATACTCTGTCTTAGAGTTGAACACTTAAGGGATCAATGTAGGTCTTCAGTTAGACACCTACCTACTCTATGATATATTTTAAATGTTAGATGAAGTAGTAGAATATTGAACTCCTTTTTTTTTTTTTTAAGATGTTATTTATTTATTTGACAGAGAGAGACATAGTGAGAGAGGGAACACAAGCAGGGGGAGCGGGAGAGGGAGAAGCAGGCTTCCTGCCACGCAGGGAGCCCGATGCGGGGCTCGATCCCAGGACCCTGGGATCATGACCTGAGCCGAAGGCAGATGCTTAATGACTGAGCCACCCAGGCACCCCTTTTTTTCTTTTTTTAAGTAGGCCCCAACATGGGGCTTGAACTCAAAACCCTGAGATCAAGAGCCCTGTGCTCTACCGACTGAGCCAGCCAGGCACCCCAGAATATTGAACTCTTATAACAAAAAATTATGAAGTATTTTCAAGTCATGTATTTTTAAAATTTTAATTGAGAAGGTTTTTTTTTTTATTTCTTAAGGTTTTATTTTAATTCCAGTTAGTTAACCGACAGCGTTATATTAGTTTCAGGTGTACAGTATGGTGACTAACACTTCCATACATCACCCGGTGCTCATCATGACAAGTGCACTCAATCCCCATCACCTACTTAACCCGTCCCCTCACCGTCCTCCCCTCTGGTAACCATCAGATTGTTCTCTATAATTAAGAGTCTGTTCTCAAGTCTTGTCTTTTATTCATTCAATGAATATGCACATCGTGGACATTTTGCTAGGCACCAGGATAAAACAGTGACTGAGATCCAACTTTTTACCCTTAAGAAACATACCCTCTTGTTTATCACAGACACTAAAGAGAAGTCTGGTTGCCACAACTGGGCTTGCCTTCCTTTAAAAAAATAAATGGATTCGGGCGCCTGGGTGGCTCAGTCAGTTAAGCATCTGCCTTCAACTCAGGTCGTGATCCCAGAGTCCTGGGATCGAGCCCCGCATCGGGCTCCCTGCTCAGAGGGAGTCTGCTTCTCCCTCTCCCTCTCCCTCTGCCTGCCGCTCTGCCTACTTGTGCTATCTCTCTGTCAAATAAATAAATAAAATCTTTTTGAAAATAAATAAATAAATAAATGGATTATGATTCTTGTAAAAAGACCTTTTTTAAAGCTGAAAATTAGAATCTTGATTTAGCAATGGCCATTTTCTAATAAATTCTGGCCTGGCATTAAATGAATAATTATATACATAGCCCTAAATAAATAAGAGTGATTATGGCTGTGCCCAAGTTGGACTCTTCTATAAAGCTTTCTTGGTCTGAAGACAACCTCTTTTGAGTCAAAATTGACACTACATGCCCTATTCTAGCTTTGTATTTATTGTATATTGCCCCATTTCTTTGTTCTAAAGAGTTGCTGAAAAACAATCTCCTAGGTTTTCTCCATTACCTCAGGTAATCTTGTTCCAGATGGAAGAGGGCATCCAGAAGGGTGTAGACCCAGCCTTTGCCGGTGAGAAGTTAGCCTCCTCCTAAACCACAGGGCTGTCCCTGTTTTGAAAGTGTGAAATCTGTCTGCTTCCAAGATGAAACCATTGCTTCCTTAGCAGTCCTTTGGTGGTAATGCTCTTGTATTGAAGTTTAAAAGTCTCCAAGCTTTATGTATCACATGCACTAAGCTTCTGCCTTTGCAGGGGTATGACAGGAACCCGTTATGTGCTGCTTGTTTTGGCTGCTGTAGGTTGACAGTGGACAGTTACTTTCCCTGTTTAAATGAACGACTCAACTCCTGTACTCACTCTGCACCAACAGCTCAAGAACATTTTCTGTTTGAAAACATTTTACACTCGTATTTAGTAATTTTCCTTGCCACATCCTTTCTTATGTAGCATTCTAGATTGCAATCCTATCCCTCCTATATATTTCTGTTCTTTGTTAGGAATTACCAGGTAAAGAATGCATATATATTTGGCCCCCGTTGTCTCTGTTTGTAGAAGTGGTTTTGTTTGCTTATTCAAGTACCGAGAGCCTACTTTGCACTTGGCATAGAAAGACAGAGTCCCTTAAAAATACTTTGACCTAGAAAAATTTAAACATGATAACGTACCTTGAAATAGTTGTTATTTATTTTAGTAATAATTATGCCTCTTATTTAGCTAATTTCATAATACACTGCACTCATCAAGAGGATCCAAGTTGAAGGACATCAGATTTTATTTTCTCTACTTTTGAATATGGTAGTGTAGTCACAGCCCCAGTAAATCCTTGAATATACTGCATAGACCCTAGACTGTCCATTCCTATCAGAAGGAAAACCCTTCTCTTTGTAGTGTGAATCTGGTAGCAAAAGGAAGTTCTGTGATTTCAGACTCCTTGCCTTTCATATTTTTGAAGAATGGAAAAAATCCCTTATGGCATATAATTTCCCCCAAGACCAAATAGACCCATTCAAGTCTCAGCACTATTTGCTTACAGTTTTACTGTTTCTCACCTATGGAAGTTTGAGGTAATTGTCTCCTATTAGTCTTTCCTGAAACTTTTTATTCTTCAAATGGGAGACTCCATTTAGTTATCACCTTCAGAGAAAGCAAATTAGACATTATTAATTCTTGTTCCTTGAATATTTATCCCCAGTAGAGCTTTACTCATCAGTTCTTGATCTCAGTCAGATTTGTATTCTATTTAAATTCCTCTCTCCTTCCCTCTGTGAAATTGATATTTGGATGTATTTGCCATAATGTGCTCTGTTCACCAGACAGAATCACCTCAGGGGTGGTAAGCGTCAACAAGTGCTGGGCCCCAAATCTCTAACCCATTGGCCTAACAGATTTGCTTTGTTTGACAGTGTTTTAAAGACATTTGAGTTTTGGTGCTTTCACACAGCATATGCTACAGTTTGCCGCAGGCCTCTTTCCCCTCTTTTATTTTGCTTCTGTCCCGGTTCCTATGTGTCTGCCTGACCCCTTTAGAGACTGGAGCTTGTTACCCAACTAGGCCATCCTGTTATAAGGGCCTAAGAGGCAGCATTTGCCAAGAACAGGGGGAGAAGATGCCAGTTCTCAGAACGGTAAGAGTTACAAGGTAGCTTTAGGAATTTACTACATTGACCAAACTAGGAGAAATCACTTTCATTTGGACAGGTCAGGTTATGTTCAGAACTAAAAAGTGTCTTTTCCTTCATCACTCTGTGAACAAGGATAGGAAATCGTTGCAAAGCAAACTGTTAAGTCACATGTCTGCCTTCTATGCTTCACCCCTTCTTACACTCATTAAAAAACAATTATGACTAATGAACCGCTTGATTTTGTCCAGGTTTGCACCACCCTCACCCCTGCTTTTGCCCAAATCCTGTCCTTGTGTTACTATGCAGGTAGGGCTGCTATAGATTGAAAGGTTGTTGCTCAGGAGGTCCAGTGATCTTGTTGCTCTTGTTCCCACAGGCATAGAATGTCAAGCTAACCAGGCGTCTGCTACTTCTGAAGAGTGCACTGTTGCATGGGGAGTCTGTAACGTAAGGAAACATCTTTCCCTATCAGCATGGCTTGTAAACATATTACCACTTTTCCTGCTTTGCCAGTCTTGAAAATAACTAGGAAAAAAAATGCCTAGCCCACCTTTCTCCCAAAAGGTATACAAATAGTAAAAAAGATTTTTTTTTTTTAAAGATTTTATTTATTTATTTATTAGAGAGCGAGCGAGAGAGAAACAGCATGAGAGGGGGGAAGGTCAGAGGGAGAAACAGGCTCCCCGCCGAGCCGGGAACCCGATGTGGGGCTCGATCCCAGGACTCCGGGATCATGACCTGAGCCGAAGGCAGTCGCTCAACCGACTGAGCCACCCAGGCGCCCCGTAAAAAAGATTTTAAATCTTTGTAGTATTCACCTGTTATAGGTTAAAAATTATTAGTTATTGCAGGGGCACCATTTTGTCTTAATCATAAAGTGGACCCACTTTTGTTAGCAACACTTGGGGATTCATCTTTGGGAATTGCCTGCAAAGCCTGTGGCAGTCTTTGGAATATTCTCCCGTTGGTGGATATCTTTACCTTCTTAACATCTTTTTTTAGGGCTGTATGCCTTGTGGAACTAAGTTTGGCGAATAAATTGTGTGTTCAAGGGCCCGTGTGTGTGTGTTTTAAAGTGTGGCAAATGTACTAGGTCAGGATTTTTTTTTTTTTTTTAACGTGGCTCATGCCAGAAATGTTTTGTCCAGCATCATTGGACTGAATGTACAGCCTTCCACGGTGTGACAGCTGTGAAGGATAACATCAAATATGTTATTTCTAGCATGTGTTAAAAAGTCATCTATATAGCCATATAGTCCCACTCACATGAGCTAAAATTGTCCTGTCCGGTGCCAAGGGGAAAAAGGATCCACAGCTCCCGGCATGGCACAGGCGTAAGGGGCTCTGGAGTCAGACCACCATTCCCTGTCTTTGACTTACTTGCTAAGTGACTTCAGACATCAAGGTATTTGACGTCCCCAAGCCTGGGTTCCCTCATCCTATAATCAGGATGAAATGATTTTATCCTGCCACATAGGAGACATAAGTGTCACCTTTGGGGGACGGGGCTGGTTACTGAGCAGATAGTAACTATCAGTACTTCGGCCCAGCAGGCTGAGGCTCTGCCCTACCCGAGCATGTGCTGCAGCTTCTTCATTCTGCCAAGGCCCTTTGAGCAGTTCCACAGTAGCCAGTATTGGCCCAATTAGATTTGTTGTTTATGGGGATAAAGAAAGAAAATACATTGGGCTCTTTGCTCTGCCTGACATTTCAGGCATACACCAAGGGCCACGTTATTTTTTGGTGGAAGGAAAAGGAAGTGAACTTCCCTTAAATTTGGCGAAGGCGAGACTAGCCTGGGGAGCTGGCCACAGAGAAGAGCTGGCATGGTGTGTCAGAGACCTTTGGACCAGTGCTGGCTTCTAGTTCTGGGTCTTCTCACCGGCTCCATGAATTAGGCGAGTCGCTTGATTTGTCTGAGTTTCAGTTTCCTGTCTGCAGAATGAAAGTAATATTACCTGTCATGATTGCGTGCCAGGGTTGCTGTGAGGCTCCAGTTAGGTAATACATGTTAGCATCTTCTGTGAACTGTAAAGCACTAGGCAGTGTACTTTGAGACTGCCAAATATATCCATCAACAGACCGTAGGTTATTAACAGGAAGAAAGTTGGGACCAGAGTGGTTCAGCGATGCTGTCACCTGCTCTGTAGCCTTATTTGCAGCCCCTCATTCCCTCCATCTTCCGAGGTAGTTGAGGGTACAAGGATCCTGTACTGCTGCAAGGTGCCTCATGGGGGCAGGGAGCGGCGGGGCCGGTGGAGAAAGGCCTCTTGAATACCCCTAGGTGAACCTGTCCCTACTACCTGGTGATTGAGAAAAAAATGCCTCCGCTTTCTGCTTTCCAGAAGTTTTGTTTTTTTCTTTTTCACAGTGAGTTGTATGAGAGTCAACGAGTTGCATGAAAGGGATCTCCTAAAGCTCTCGCCCTGGGAGAGTATTTGTCCTGTTGAGTGCCCATAGTGTACTAGCTGTGGATTCCACTCTTAATTACCAAATTCTGCTTTTGTCTTTATTAAAAGACAATGGCCATGATGGCAGTCCACTCAGTGACTCTTCTCGAAGGTCCACGCATGTTGTGGTGGGGCCTGCTGACCAGATTTCGAGGCTGTTACTAAATCAAGCTTGCAGAAGCTTTCATTCTGTTGGGGTGTCAGCATTTCTCCCCTGTCCCCACCTGAGCCAGCTCATCACAGATGAGATGAGGGGGAGCACTTGCTGCTGCTGTCTTAATACTCTGCTCCAGTGAGGTATTATGAGTAACATCTGCCTGTCATTCACTCACACCAAAAAACTCACACAGATTTTCCTTTTGCCCAAATCTGAAAGTCACCTCCTAGTTCCCTGTCAGTAACCAGTTTTCTTGGTACTCTGGCCATTTTATTTCTGGCCTTGATCATGAAATAAGTCGTTTGATGATCTTTCAGCTGCTTGTGTGCAGTTTGTCCATCATAAGGCTTCCTTTTACCCTAATTTTTTTTTATCTCATTCTTTTTTTAAGAGAAAGTGCCTCACCCCTTAAAGGCTTACCAAGTACTGAGCTGTTTTAATATCAGTACATCTTTGAACAAATCTGGAAAGAAGGTCTTTTGAACAGAGCTGAGCTGGGTGTGGAGAGATTGGGGACGTGCCCATCTTGGCTCTGGGTGGGCGGCAGCGGCAGGAGACGTCGCTGCTCCTGGGGTTCCCATTCTCCAAGGTGGGGGAGGGGCAGTTGGGGACAAAGAATGGGGAAGTTTGAAATCTGCCTGTGATCAAGGGCCTCCTGGCATGTGTCCAAGGAAAGTAGACGCCTCCCCTTACAGGCTGAAAAGGACCAGGAAGCCACATTCCATCTTCCCTTTAGAGAAGGGGAGAGAGGCGCCCTTGCCAAATAATTTCTTTTTGTAGTGGTTACGACATTTCTAACAGATGTTCCAGTGGGAATGTCCTGTACCTGACCAAGGTGTAAGCAGTTGTTGACCTTTTGCCTCTCATTGTTTGTTGTCTCCCGTTGTCTGCTGGCCCCCCGTGTGTCACCAGGCCGCTGCCCTTGAGACATACTATCAGTAGATGGCTGAGCCTGCACAGAATGATTTTTAATAAAATGTGTCTTCTCTTCCAGCATGCTTTTCACTTCCACTGCATCTCTCGCTGGCTCAAAACACGGCAGGTGTGTCCGTTGGACAACAGAGAGTGGGAATTCCAAAAGTAGGTGTCTCTGGCTGTTTTGATGTTGTAAGACTGGGTTCTGTGGTCCGTGCCATCCTTGAGTCACCTCAAGCTGGAGGGTGCATAGTCTGAGAAGTTGGAGACAGGGAACATACCTTGTTCTACAAACGAACTTCTGGTTAAACAAGGACTCGTCTATGAGGAAAAGGCACAAAGGTGTGGCCGACATTAAGTTTGCAGCCTGGAGTTTCCCAACTCCCAGGGTCTGTGAAAGTAGAAAATACGAGAATCTGCAAACTATTAAATATTTCCAGAATCACCTCCATAATAAGGCTCCCTGGGCTAACCAATGTCAGGTATCTTTGCTTTGGGCTAGAATCACATCCACCTATCCTGCTTCATTGGTTTATCTCATGCTGATTAACTCTGATATGGTATTTATGGCTATCTGAATTAAATTATTAGTATTACACAAATAAAACATGACATGGTAAATTTTTTAAAATTCAGATAGTCAAGAGGGCATACCAAAAAAATTAATTTCCCACCTTAGTCTCCTAATCTTACTCCCGGAGGTGACCATCAGCTTCCTAGTACCTCCTATCTCCGTACATGTGCTTTCATGTATGTGGGTGGATATACGTATATAATTTTAACATAAATATGAGCATCCTACATAGTAATTCACTTTGCTTTTTCATTTCATACATTTTGGAGTTTTTCCATACCCATATATATCAGACTACCTCCTTTCTGATGGTTGCAAAGTATTTTTTATGTTGATGTCCCATAATTTATTTAATCAGTCCCTATTGATAGACATTTAGGTTTCAAATTTTTCACTTGAAAATAGTGTGTAGGGTTGACCATCCTTATACATGAATCTTTGTGAATATGTGCAGGTATATTTGTAGCAGTAATTCCTAAAAGAGGAATTTCTGAGTAAAACTGTACATTTTTATTTTTGATAAAGTCAGATTTTCCTTTCCCAAGAATATGTTGTAATTTACACTCCCTCTAAACAATGCAGCAGAATGCCCCTTTCTCCATTTCCTGCTGAGGCTCTATTATCAAACTTTTCCATCTTAGCTACTCTGATAGTTGAAAACTAGTGTTCAGTTGCATTTTTTGAATTTTGAGTGAGATTGGCTACTTTTCATATGTTTTTATGCCTCTCTTTATGTGAAATGCCCTTTTTTGTTGCTGTTGAATTATTGATCATTTGCTTTATCAAATTTTTTATGAGAAGGGGGATTTTTATTTAAATATGAGTTTTGGGGCGCCTCAGTCATAAAGCATCTGCCTTCGGCTCAGGTCATGATCCCAGGGTCCTGGGATCGAGCCCCTGCATCGGGCTCCCTGCTCATCGGGAAGCCTGCTTCTCCCTCTCCACCTCCCCCTGCTTGTGTTCCCTTTCTCGCTGTGTCTCTGTCAAATAAACAAAATCTTAAAAATAAATAAATTAAAGAAATAAATATGAGTTTTGATTAATAGGATATCATTAAGTTTAAAAAACAAAAAATGGGGTTCTTGAGCTTGTTAAATGTTTAGAAATCCCTTATTGGTACCGTTATTTTGCTTTTACACTTGATTATTTATTTTGGCAACGAATTTTTGGAAGTCTTATCGAATGCACCTTCTTTTTTTTTTTTTAAAGATTTTATTTATTTATTTGACAGAGCGAAAGAGGGAACACAAGCAGGGGGAGTGGGAGAGGGAGAAGCAGGCTTCCCGCGGAGCAGGGAGCCCAATGCGGGGCTCGATCCCAGGACTCTGGGAACATGACCTTAGCTGAAGGCAGACGCTTAACGACTGAGCCACCCAGGCACCCCTGCACGTTCATTTTTTAAGAAACCTGCCAAATACTCGGTGTTTAGCTCATACCATTATCCTTCGTTCAGCAACGTGTATGCTACCTAATGTGTAAGATACGAAAACGTGTGAGACAGTCCTTCCCCATCCTCGGGAGCTCGAGTTCTGAGTAGAACCATGAAGTCACACATATCAGGGCAAAAGCACTTTTCTACATTCTCAAGAGATTGGTAATTGGCTCTCAAGTAATTGGCTCTGCCATGGAGCAGGCTCCAAGTTCTGTTTTGGACCCAGACTTTCCCCTGTTGCCCATTAAATATTCCCTGGACTGAGCCGAGGCAGTGGGGGGTTTGAAGACTTCTTGTGTCGGGCTTTGACACCACCACTGTGTCCAGCCAGCAGCCTTGTCACAAGGCCATGCTCAGCAGTGCTTTGTGAAAACAGATTCCTAAGGAGCAAATGATGGCATCCTTTAATGTGATGGACTGGGTTTCCCTCCAGTCCACTAACAAACACTGGAGCTCTACCCTGTGTGGAATTTGGCACAACAACTTTTTTCTAGACAACATTCACATAGATTTCATACGAGAAGTGCTTAAAACATCTAGTAGTCCTTCAGGCTGATGGAAGCCATGACCCAGAGTTCGAGTGCCCTGGTTATTAATATGTTAGACTTTGTTATAAGTATTTTATTTATTTTTATTTTTTTAAAGATTTTATTTATTTATTTGACAGAGAGACAGGAGAGAGGGAACAGAAGCAGGCGGAGTGGGAGAGGGAGAAGCAGGCTTCCCGCTGAGCAGGGAGCCCGATGTGGGGCTCGATCCCAGGACCCTGGGACCATGACCTGAGCCGAAGGCAGACGCTTAACGACCGAACCACCCAGGCGCCCTGTTATAAGTATTTTAATCAGAGGCTAACTGTCCATAAAGAACCGGACAAAAGATTGAGTAAGATAATAATGAAGGATTTTTGTTCAAGCAGTCCATTTATATGTGGAAGAAATTTCCCGGCCTTGTTTGTTTTTATATAATCTTGTTAGAGCCAAATTTTGGCTTTTGGGGAAATCAGAGATCACCTGAAATCCATACCTCATTTCTCTACAGTTCTCTTTCTGCAGTGCTGAATGTAATCAGGGCGGAAATTGGACCTGGTGATAGATTTTGAAATTGAAGGCTGTTCAGTGACTATTCCCCATATTTGCCTGAGTAGCAGATTTGAAGTGAAAATAAGCCGCAGTGGGAAGGGGAGGCCGAGTGCTCAAAGGGTGTCTGAGCCACTGACTGGTGCCACCAGAGCAGCTCCCTGTCACAGCCACCGGTTCTGACTTTTCCCCTTCCCTCCCTAATACTGCCCACATCTGTCTGGTAACTGGAAGGAGGATCAGGTAGGTATAGTTGAGGCCCATGGAGAGACTGTCACTAAGAAGAGGGTAGTAGGTAAAATGTTATGCAGGATAAAATAAAAGGGGCAGAGACTTGTGTCAGCCCAATCTTGGAGTACACTTGTACTCACATCTTTTAAAAGTTTTCATTACATCTGCTCCTATGTTTTAGCAGGTTTTGTAGTCTCAGGAGGAAATTACTAAGGAATTAATAAAATAATTTACTTTGTCTTTCAGGTATGGGCACTAGAAAGAGAATTCTTCCATCGAGCTCAACTGTTCTGTTATTCATTTAATGACTTGCCCTCCTGTTACTTAATTATAAATTAGATAGAACTGTGTCTTTTCTGCTTTGTCTTTTCAGTTTGCTGTTCCTGCAGCCATATTGTATTCTGTGTCAAATAAAATCCAGTTGGATTCTAGAACAGATGCTGTCTCTTGTGTATGTGAAAAAGTGAACGTAAATAAAGGGTCCCCTCTTCCTAGGTTAGAAGGCTTCCTTTCAAAAGTGAGATGTTTCTTCATTAGAGCAGAGTTGTCCTGTGAGCACATCGCTTGGTCACAAGGAATCCTGGTCCACAGCCTGATCATCGATGGCAGTCTTGGGCAAGTCGACTCTCTGCTCCGCCCTTTCCCCTATAGAATGGCTCCTAAGAACTAAATGGCATCATATGTGCACAGAAAGAAGCTTTGTAAACTGTAAAACCACTGTATGAATGTTAACCTTGACCATGTATGTGACCTGTTGCTTTCTCTTCTTAGTTTAGAAAAATAAACGTGAAAAAATCTAATATGTAATTTTGTCTGGCAAAAGAAGAATTTATGAACTCAAGTTGAAAATTGATGTCACTTAAAATGGAATTAAAAAGAATTCAAGTTGCCTCTACCACAACCATCTTTTGCAGTTTGTTTAAAATGTCTTGGCCATGGGGATGCCTGGCTGGCTTGGTCGGTAGAGCATGCGACTCTTGATCTTGGGGTCACGAGTTCAAGCCTCATGTTGGGTATAGAGATTACTTTAAAAAAAAAAAAAGTCTTGGTCATGGAAGGAATTGCCAGTTCTAAAACTAACTCAGTGGTGATGCAGTCTTTAACTGAGAAACAGTCTAGTTTACTGTATTGGTTCTCAAACTATGGTCTGAGGACTCCTGGGGGGCTCCTGGAACCCTTTCAGGAGGTTCATGAAGTTCCTGTTCCACTACATGGCGGCCTGAGGCCAGCTTTTCCTTATATCCTCCAGTCAAAGCAACGCACTGAATGAAGAAGCAGGCGGGAGGATCCAGCTGTCTTCTATTAGATACAAAAGAGATTTGCAAAAATGTAAAACAGTGCCACTCTCTGATTTTTTTGTTTTGAAAAATAGTGGCTTTTAATAAAAATATTTGTGTTAACATGATGGGTTTTGTTCTTTTTAAGTCTTTTAAATTTCTTGGTTTTGATTTCCATTTTATATATATAGATGTGTGTATATATAGAGAGATAGATGTATCTGTAGATGTTCACCCACAAAGACAAAAATTCTTTGAGGTCTTTAGTTTTTAAGATCATAAAGGGATCCTGAGAGTAGAAAATTTAAGAATCTCTACCTTAGTGATTAAGAACTTCGAAGTCTTGGGATGCCTGCGTGGCTCAGTCATTAAGCGTCTGCCTTCGGCTCAGGTCATGATCCCGGGGTCCTGGGATCGAGCCCCGCATCGGGCTCCCTGCTCCGCGGGAAGC